GTCCAGCTTCTCCTTCTGATCAGGTAGTACAAAGATCCTGATGTGCTTATGTGGTTGCCTCTGTCGAGGTCTTGCAATCCGCCGGTCATTATGTATTCTCAAAGTGTCAACTAAGGCTCTGCACGACCGACAAATGGCATTACCGGGTGACACAAGTGGACATTTGTTGTGCCGCCATTTCCTTTCACGATCGATGTACGCGCATTGCGGAGAGGCATTCGGGAAATCTTTCAAGCTTGGCCCTCCAGAGCAAACTTCTAAATTTGCCACAGCTCGTACCATCTCTTCAAATTCAAGCACCGATGTAGCAAGTGAACTTATGCAAACATCACTGGGTTGAATAGGCTTGCCAAATATAAACAATTGCACAGTCATGTCGCTTTTGATGTGCACAGATTTTCTGTTAAACGGTACACCAGGTCCGTCACTGCTGTTGCGAGGCACGGAAGCGTCATTGAACAGGACATCCTTAAATCCGTCGCTGTCAATTCGATGGACAGCCCACGATGACGAGGGAAGGCATATGCTTGCAGCTGACGCGAAAAGTCGATCAAACACAGACAGGGTAGAAACGTGGGTAGAATGCACAATTGCGGCTTCGGTGGTGTCGCCAACTTCGTTTGCACAAGCACTTTGCTTCGGCACTGCATTTTCTGCGTGCGAACGAGAGTGGCTCTCTTGCTCCGCGGTTTCTTCACAGCGTTTAGCGTGGGTAAAAGTGCGGGTTAGCTCACCACTTGTCTGCCGTATTGTCTTCTTTCGAGGGATCTTAATCTTTTTTGACAGGTAGCCAGGAGCACCATCGAAAATAGACGGCACAGCATCCTTGGTGAGCCCGGCTCTCCTCTTCTCGGACATTGAAGCATGTCCGTTAAATTCTGAGGACCACGTCGTCAGCACGAAATGGGGAGCGAAGTGCCTTTCACACACACATGGTCGGTCCTTTGCAACACGCGGTCTTTTCGAGGTATCACACGCCTCCACGCCTGAAGTCTTTCTTCGTTCGCTGGCGGCGTGAAAAGAGAAAACTTCTCATTGCAGGATTTGTAGCCGCTGTTGCAAAAGGGCACAAAACACTTGCCCATAATTCCACTTCACACAAACACCAGGAGCAGGACCAGCACGAAAAAACGCAGCACCAGCACAGCAGCAAACGAACGTGCTCCAAATTGCCCATGCGGTGCGAAGGAGTTTTCTGCGGCGGGCGAACCGGTCCTACGATGATGGTATGATGATGGTAATGAGGTAATAACGTTAAAAAGTGTGCCCGCCCCTTCGTAACGGGCGGGCACACTTTGGCACCCTAGCCGATAGTAAAAAGTACAAAGAAAATCATAAAATAAAATGCAGACTGGCCGGGTTGCCGAGTTAAGAACCCTCCCGAAGTCCCCGGAGAGTTATTTTCCTCCATTGTTCTAGGCGAGTTTTGCTGCGCCTCACTGCGGCGTAGTCCACCACATCACCTGTGTCCACGAAACCCAGTGCGGCAGCGAGATCTGTGTTCGAACTGGATGGGCTCAGTTGCGGGCACTCAGTCACGATGTGTGCGATGGTCTCGTCAGCCCCACCACACGCGCGACACACCACACTCACGAGTTCACCGTCGTAGGCTTGCTTACGGACGAGAGTACGCAGGGCCCCTGTTCTCGCCTCAAACAACAGCACACTTCCGAGGCCATTGTCGTACAGTGGGACTGGAGCGATGGTGTCCTTGTGCTGGCGGTAGAGGAGGAGACTTGACTTGTTCACTTGTGCCTGCCTCCACTTCTCCTCCTCGGCCTCCTTATTACGTTGGCAAATTTCCTTAGTGCGCCCCCGTTGGTTTTCGGCCGCCAGTGGCGCCTGGAAAAACCCAAACTTTTTCTGAAGTTGGTACACTTGTCGTACCCACTTGGTGCGCATACATGTCGCCATGAGGTTGTCAAAAACTCGTCTAGACCACCTCTCGTGGGCCATATACATCAGGCGGCAGTGGAACGTCAGTTTGCTGGCCGCCTCACGCGCTTCGAAGCTCGACCAGCCGATGTCCCCCTGGACCGCCTCGTTCGCCACCATGCCATGACAGCCCAGAGCGATGCGTCCTACTTCCCGCTGTCGCCGCTCCAACCATTCCCGGGCGGCCGCTGACATAATCACGACTGCGTTCGCAAATGTCAGTGGGCTTTAGAGTGCCTCGATGCGCGCGCCCCAGCTTAGAGTGGTGTCAGCCTTTGTAAGGGCAGGTGCCGCCTCCTCGGCCTTAGCGGCGGCATGGCCGCCATTTTAACTCCACTCAGTCACTTCTGCGTGTTCGCTGCGCCCGAATAATTGTGCTGGCGCTCGCTTTTCTCCGGTTTAATGCGCTCGCTACCGTCACCGTAGCGGGTATTGCGTGCCGCAGGGCACTAATCATTGTAAAAACTCTGGAAGCTGTATCGTTTCCTAAGAGACCCGAAATGAAGGCCTTTTCAACAGTGAAAATCAAACATGACAAGTGGCATCCGACAAACAGATCATCCATTCACAGCGTAAGTTTCCAGCCGGTATTCCGCATGCATAATTTGTACCGGCACCAATTTCGTGTAAGCAACAGACACGCTGACGGCTGTATGCTTGATTCTCGTGTGCATGAATCGCGTATTTCGCTTCGTAAACATTGCTTGCTGCTCTTGGTTGGTACTGTATCTGCCCTTCATTTTTGGTTTCACTATGTGCGATGAGATATTTATTATTAAATATACATTACACGTGTTTCTTTGCAGATGATATCCTTGTTTTTTTTTCGTAATACTCATTTGTGGGAATAAAGCTTTGCGCAGCGGCTGTGTCGTACCCACTGAAGTTTAAAGAGTGTGTGTACGTTCCGGAATCACCATATGATCACGAGAGACGTGGTATACATTGGAGGACTTCGGAAATTTTGAACAGGTATTTTTATGTAACTTGCACCTAAGTTTAAGAACTCCGGCATTTCATCTCCATCGAAGTGGGGCCACTGCGGCCGGAAATCGATTACCGACCGTTCGAGCGCCCAAACCATTACAAAGCCACACAGGTTCTTTCTACGATCTTTTCCTCGGTTTAGGTACGCCTTCTATGCTGGTGTAATGACCCTTGTAAGAATGGGTGCAGTTCAAATTTTTTTCATTGTTCCTGTACTTCAAGTTTTCTTTTCGTCTTGTCTCAAATCATTACGCAATTGATGTTGTTTTTTAATCCTTTACGACCACTGCGAAGCAACTAGTGACAGTACTCAGTGAATTCTGCCATAGAGCGTATAATTTGAATTGCTTCTGGCAGCGCTGCATTAATGCACAAAAATAAATTATTTCTACACTGGATGATAATAGGGGAAACGGCAGGCGTGTGTACACACACACACACCGTCAGTATTTTAACTCTACACACACACCGTCAGTATTTTAACTCTTTCAGCACGCATTATTATTTAAGTAAATAATTTATTTATTAATACTGTGAACTATCAGGGATCATACGCAACTGCTTATGCAAACTGTACTCGCGAAGCGTCCATACAAAGAAGATGCATAAAGACAAGACGGGGCACCGCTGTGTCGAATGAACACGCTATGTCGCAAAAAAACAAAAAAAAAACAAGTCAAGTTGTGCGATGAGAAGATCATGGAGAAATAGTTATAGCAATAAGAAAGGCGTCCGCCTCAGTGGTACGATGGGCACGGTGCTCGGTTGCTGACGCGAGGCTCACGCTTTCGATCTCGGCCACGGCGGTCTCATTTTGAATAACGTAAAACACCAGAGGACACCCATGTACTGTGTCAGTGCAGGCAAAAAAAAACTGATTGTCAAAATTGCTGCAGTCCTGCAATCAGGCGTCATTTTAGAACGTAAAATCCTCAGATAATAATTAACACTAACAAAGAAAGCATATAAACGACACCACCAATATAGATTTAGAATCCCCTCTGTGGTAACCGGCGTAGAGATTTGTTTGCAACATGAAAGAGTCAGCGTCTGCCTCTAGCGCATAAATCATGCGCAAGCCGTCAGCTAACATGAAATATGCGCTCCCTGCATGCATTCAGGCAAAATTAACTCTAAAAGATGTCCAAGCTTCAATAAGAAGAAAAGCTCGCTAGCTTGCACATGTTTCCGGGCGTATCAGGGCACCACACGAGCGTTGCGTAGCGGGCTTCGCATACGGTCGAGTTGTGGTGGGGAGGCGCAATGGCGGCGGTCGTAGCAGACGACGCGGCTGTCCTCACCCTCAGCGGAGCACGCGGGCATCAAGGCACCCTAGTGGGCTTGAGTTTGGCGCGCCACCTCTCGGCACTGAGAAGAAGGAGTACACAATCCGTCTCTCCCCACAAAGCACTCTCTCCGCATCGTTCGCTCACCTAAAAATTCTTGCACCGTGGTAAAAATGGAACAACGGTGGTGTCGATGGCAGTGGGGATAGTTCAAGAAGTACTTTTTTTAAATAAGTAGATTTTATTGTCTTTTCAAAGTTCTAGGAAAAATTTTGTATGATGTCGCCAATTTACGACACTAGGGCCGAAAGGCTCAAGTTTTTGGAATACTTCTTTTTAAGCGTGATTGCACATAGTATCAGTGACTGCGGAGCTATGTCTTCGTCGCTATATATTGATGCACTTCATACGAGTGCTAATTTAATTGCACGTCACCTCTAAACCCTACAACTTCTTCAGCTCCCTATAATACCATTATTTCGACGTATTTTGCACGTTCTTCTCAAAAGTGGTCATAAACAGCTCACAATAAATTTTGTGGCGGCATTCATCCTTTCTTTTACTTTGCTTCTGTAGTCGATAAAGCTTCCAAGCGAAACACTGGATAAGATCTTCCAAGGCTTTTTTTTTATTAGCTCTCATCATCATCCCTAAACTACGATTACCGTGATGAAAAACTGCGGTCTACCCTTTTTTTTTTAAACCAGTCTAAATCATCTGACATTTGGTGTTGTTCCAGATGTGATAGGGACAGTGAAATTCACAGAACACCCTTTTCGTGCGTCGTTCCAGATCCACTTCGAAGGGGAGGCCACGGATGGAGGCTTCGCTTTGGACGACATCACCATGTACGAAGGGAACTGCGAAAGTACGTGCAGCACTACGCAGTGAACTGAACTGATCATTTTTTTTTTCTAAACTGATAATATGCACGCACGCTCCCCTTACCCCACGGTTGGTGCCCTGTTTCGCGAACGCAAGACAAGCTGGCTCAGTGGAACTAGAGAACGTGCCGGCTACAGATTACACAGTGGTATGCAAGCTATATAGCCATGACTGGCAGTCGATAATGGATTCGGAGAGAATTCGAGCTCTAGAGGAGAGAGTTGTTCGTGTTATTTGGTTTAGGTCTACTGTGTTACGTGTACTGTACTGGAGAACATGCGAGCATCGTGAAGAAAACACTAAAAAGAACGATTTCTTCTAATATCCGCAGACAACGCTTTCCCAATTGCAAGGTTTCACAATTGAAATATCCTGTAAAGGGCATCACGCCTTACAGCTCTCACCCTCTACGCAAAAGTCTGACCACACATACGTGTTGCAGCGCGTCAACGCTTGGCGTGTAAGCTCGGCGCCGTGCCCTTTATCTATGTAGAGAGATGATAGCGCGCAGCTTCGTCGAGACATACGCCTCCGTAGGTGGCGCCCCGCCCTCTTTCTACGGATGGAGAGGGCGATGGTCTCGATAAAGCCACGCGCCATCTTTCGGCGCGGCACCGAGTCCATACGCGAAGCGCTGACGCGCTGCAATGCGTACATGTGGTCAGGTTCTAACAAGGCACGACTACATAGCTCCCCGTGTGGCCGGGCGCCTCTGGCGAGCTACGCGACGCAGCAAGCAGTGGCGTGGCCTAGGGTAACGTATCTGACTCCCACGCAGAAAATCCGAGTCTGGTTGAAGTGGGAGCTGAAGTACCTCTACTTTTTCTTTCTCTCTCTCTTATTGTGGGCAATATCTGTGTCGGACACCGGCTGCGGTAGCGGCGGCTCACGTCGCCACCAAAAACTGCGATTGACGCGAGGCTGTAACAGGTTAAAGTGTCAAATGCAAATACGACAATGATGCTGATGTCCCTTTGATATATATCAACCCTCATTGGGATACAGGCCCATGAAATCGCTCATTGTCGTCAATCGCATCAACTTCTTTGGCTACGAAGTAATCACAGCGAAATGCGATCTTTCTGAGAGCACGCCCTTTGTGAAAGCTCTCTCGCTCACTTATAAGACGCAATCGCGTCGAGCGATACTGTGTGCATGTGTGCTTATCGCACGGTCGCATGACGCGAAACGTGACAGTGATTTTTCATAGATTTACACTCACAATAATTTTTTTTTCACTTGCAGCACGGCCACCGACAGCTATCATTCCTGTCGCATCGACGGATGTCTGAGCGCCTACAGTTCACCTCGGCACTGGGTATCATCAGGGCCAGCATACAGCAAACGTTTCACAATCGTTCAACAAAAAACTTTCATTTGTATTGTCGGTCTCATTACTCTACGTTTAGGACTACAAGAGAGAAAGGAAACATTGTCGTGCCTGATCCAGTTAACCTATGAAAAGATCATCGACAGGTAAACTGTGAATCCGTACAAACAGCGTAGGAGACACACTGTTAGCACTTCGAGCACTATCGAAATTAAAAGGATGGAAGTGTACTTCATAGCCCACTGAATTTAATTTTGCAAACACTAAGGAGCGCTTGAGGCTCCTTGGTCGTCCTAAACAGCCCTTTCTTAATGCGGAACATTAATGCTGCGAAACATTTCTATGCGTATATACTGCACGGCACTTCGAGTGTGAATCTATCCATATCTATCTATTTATCTATCTATCTATCTATCTGTTTATCTATCCACCTCCGTCTTAGTTCTCTTTTTATCATCTCCTCAACTTGGGGAAAACCAAATTGGTATGGAAGGGTAAGATAGTTTGACAAATATGACTCGATGGTGATGACATGACTAATGTCCCAATTTTGTCACGTACGTCGTCAAATCCTTTCCGCGAAACGTGGAGCACATACCGGTGGGCAGGTATGTGCCACAGGTGATTGACACCTAATATCTACCCAGGAATTGCGAGCACAGACACGGGTAAATTTAACGCGTGCGCGTTAGGAACAAAATTTTGCTCTGGATACTCTTATCGGAGATGAAGTGGAAAACTTGTGCCCCTGCTGTTCGGCGGAAGCAGCTGCCATGCATATGTGCAGATAGTTTTCATCCGGTAGTTGGCGTGGTGCTCGGCGTTCTGTTTTTTTTTTTACCATTTTTTATCCGCTCATCTAAGTTATTATAGGTAGTCACTGTACTATTGCACGGCATCACAGGAACTGCCATACCGGCGAAGTCATCGATTTCTGCAGGTTTCACGGCGAAGACAGGTAGATTCGTTTTGCAAATGCGCGCATGTTTTATTTTTTGTCGGCGATTTCACTCTGAGGCCTTGTTTCCACTGGCACTGTTGCGTATTCATGTACTACGTACATTTTCACTCATCTTAGACAAGTTCGAATGCTCGCACTTCTCTCGACGTTCAGTCCAACGTGATTTCCTTGTAGAAAAACCACACCTCCTCGTGTCCTCTGCTTGAGGGCAGTATGTCGTAATGCAAAAAAAAGTGGGGATATTAAACCGTGCTCGGCGAAAACAACGGCTGAATTTCGAAGCATTCACTGAAGCAGCTTTTGCTGACTTTCACGACATTTTTTGTAATAATGGTCCGTACAAGCGAGACTTTTATATTGACATCGCTGAAGGATATGATACATTAAATACAATCAAAGGGACTCGGGTGGAAGTGTTAAACGTCATTAACGCACGAGGGGACGTGAAGTGCAACTCACTCCTAGCGAGTTAGCACCATGTCGTTCATCGTCGCTGTGTCACTCTCGGTGCACTCACAGCCGTCTACGTCCAGCGTGAAACCCTCTTTGTCAAGATGTATTTCTTTTATATACATCACTGCTGAAAGCAGTCTGAGGAATACCCTCCGCCGAAAGACTGCGACAACACCAACAACAACCTGTGCGCGGAGAACATTTCGTCGATTTCGCTCTGAGAACCGTCAACAAGCAAATCGCTTGCATTCTGCTGTCATCCATCAATAAACTTGCAACAAGCGGCGAAGCGCTGGCCAATATGAGATATCAAATGGCAGGCTTGCGCGAATTTGCGCGTACAATCTTATGGTATCTATGCACCACACAAGCACTGAAGATATCTACATATGCAAGTAAAAGAAGGTGAGTTTCGGCTGATGAGGTCAGACGTTAGCATTTAACTGACTACGTGACTACATGTAAACCTGGCCGAAGCTGATCTGTGTACTCTGTCATTGAAAGTGCGAATTGCCACGTATCTTCACGAAAACTTAGCGTCTCGCAAAAATGAATCAGATTTATGGGGAAACCGGTGCTTTTAACGGGGCCCTGTAACACTTTTTGAACATGGTCAGAAAATGCTGCCGATCTGTAGTAGGGGCTCCCGACAACAAGCGAGCCAAATATTAATGCGCAGCACGCGGTTTGGAATTTACAATAAATAATTAAAGTCGGCTAAAAATGCTTTCTCTTCTCTCGAAAAATCGCGGAATAAGCCCAAAAATCACTCGTAGTAAGCCCGTCTATCAGCCATTGGCTGATTTGAACATGGCGCGCTCGGTGGTTACAGATATCGCCGCGGGAGGCCACTACTTGTCCACGCGTGCGGGTGCGATCACACTGAAAAACCCGCGCATTCGAAGAAAAAAAAAAGAAAAAGTGCTCAAGGACAAGAGGCGCACGTGACGTTTTTTGTTTGCCCCTGCCATCCCCCCCTGCTTAGCTTCCAGTGATTGCGTCGGGACGAGAGGAAAGAGAATTCGATTGCAGCGTGCTTTGTGACTCCACTCGTACTGGACAGATTCTTAAAATGTTTGCGCAATGAATTTTTGAGGCAATACGCTTTTCCAGTGAATTGATTTCATGGTTACTCAAAAAAGGGTTTCAGGGCCCCTTTAAAAGACACCGGTTTGTTTAGTGATGCAAGAAACTTGCAAAGTCATAGTGTTCGTTTCATGCTGACGCGTCAACACTGAGGCTAGGACAGCCGAACAAGACAGCCTCTGCCTACTGACCATCTAGCATCATGCCTCAATGACGTCACTGGTAATACCACGTTAGGTTCTCGATTAAATTTTGCGGTATCTGGTTTACGCCCACGAGGACTGCCAGCAATGCTCGGCGCAGGCCACGCTTCTGTGTTCGGGAAGCTTCGAGATTGTAGATCGTTTTGTTAAGACAGCGCAGTTTGAGGCGCCAGCTCTTTCAGCCTTCTGCGTGAAGTTGGTAGTCATGGTAGGTTGCGTGGTGTCGCGCAGGTATGCTCTGGAACACAAGTTTGAATCACAACCACGACGGCTGCTTTTCGATGAAGCTGAACTGTAAGTAAAGTCGACCACGAAAGTTTGCGGATTACGCGAGCGCGTGCCAAACTGGCTGTCCGCGCCATCTAGCGCTGCGCCGTCTACCGTCGACCGCAATTCTGGGCCGGAAACAGGTCTTGTTCGTATTGACTGGCCTTTCAGTTTTCCGCTGCAGCGTAGCGCATTGTTAGTTCGCAGTTTTCACGGGAAGCGCTTGTCTGCAGTAGGACCTATCACATTACTGTTTTCATAGGAGGATCAAAACTCTCACGGCGTGTCTCAAACGGCGTTTTGTTGGCTAGGTCTCACTTTGTGATAAAGACTTGCGACTGATAACAGTTGTGCTCACAGACTGCTGGCCAGGCAGAAGCTCGTAGACGCAGATGCCAAAAGCGCGCCGCGTTGAAAAGCGAAAATTGTTTGTAACCAGTCAGAAAAGAGACAGACTATCGATTAGGGGAGGGATAATTTCAGTATAGAAATTCCAAATCCGGACGGAGGCGGTCTGTTCTATTGAGTCGCACGCGATTGGCCCATTCGAGCCGTGATGAATGCTGTGACGTTCTATGTGATGTGGGACGAGGTGTCACGTGACTGTTTTTCTCCGGTTTTTGGAGGAAGGCGACGGAACGGTCGGAGAAACCGTTCGAAAGGAACCAGATGGATTGAAATGGCTGCGAGGTGGCATAGATTGGATTGAAATGTAAGGGCTTTGCGGCTTTTCGGAATCCGGGCACTTAGACAACATGGCATTTCCCACTGCCATGGTTCTTCGTCTCGCCCAAGGAGGATTAAAGAAAAATTGCTGGAGTGGAAGCTCCCGCAATGCCTTGTCAGCAGAAGTGAAGCCAGCTTTTGCCACTTCCAAGATGGTGGTGGCAAAATCTTTTCTGATAGTGCCCACTTAAAGATCAAGTGGCTTTTATATGTTATGTAAATGCTACGTTAGTTCTATATTAAATGATAGTTGTTCCCGACGAAATAACACATAGCAACAAGTATGGATGACTGAATCTTCAAAGAACTTTGCCTCCAATTAGAGGCTCACTAAGGAAAACTAGTAACTGTAAGACGCACTTGGAGCAATATGTGACCCGAAAAAGTTCCCATATTAAACTCGTTGGGTGTGCGAGGGAAACGCTTAGTTTTTAGTCACTGAACGGCGATACTTTATCATGCCCCTAGTAAGATGGCCGCCACAACCGCCATCTTTCCAGAGGAACGGCTTCACTTCTGCGCAAAAATTTCCACTCCAGCAATTTTTTAAATCCTCCTTGGTCTCGCCTGTGCGGCAGCGGTTCAGTGCGTAGCTGAGCTCTTGCCACAGCCGCCGCCGGTCGGTGACCGTGACGCCGTGCTGCAGCTCGATGGCTTTCGCAGCAAGCTGCGGATGTTCGGTCATAAAGGCAAGCACCAGCGCGCGCTGACCCTCGGAAACGCAGATGAGCAGCTGCTGCTGGTAGCTAGCGGCAGGCTAACAGTGTCGTTGCCCTCCGCCATTACTGCGCTTGACTGAGCCAATGGCTTCGAAAGTTGCGCCGTTTGGTGATGGAGATATGAGAACAGTAACTGCTTGAAACAGGGTTGTACCTAGCATCATCACTAACCGTCCCACAAAATTTAGCGTTGTTCCACAACAATAACCGAAAAAATACGTTTAGATTGTGCCGTATTGCTTCTTCAACGTTTCACAACTAGTGCCAACATATTTTAATAGTGAGCAATAATAGTTAAATACTTCTCAACATGTCACAAACACTTTTTACTTTGCTCTACGGTCCCCAAGTCAACGTCAAAATGATGACGCAGGCCTTCTTTTCCCTCATTGGCTGTTTGCTTGCCCTCGTCTTCGCGACCGCCCACTTTCTGACGTCACCGACAAAACGCCTCCGTCCGTATTTGGAATTTGTATATAATTGCACCACAGGGCGCTGCGGTGCTGTCGACCGCCGCTGACGTAGCGGAAGTGTCGCGAATAGGTTTCCGGCCATGCGCTCGCGTGGTTCGTAAACTTTTGTGGTCGACTGTAAATCTGTTCCTCATATTTATGGGTGGCATATTAAAGAACCTCAGGTAATCGACATTGCCGGTGTCCACCGCTTTGGCATAGCCCGGAAAGCACCACTTCTTTGGTGACACCGTCCGCCGTGGTGGCGTATAGTGGTTAAGGTGCTCGCCGCTGCTAACCCGAAGGTCACGGGTTCCATTCCAGCTGCGGCTGTCGCATTTCGATAGAAGCGGAATGGTAGATGTCATGTGTGATGTCAGGGCACGTTAAAGAACCCCCAGAGAATCGAAATTTCCGGATCTCTTCACTACGGCGTTCCTCATAACCACATCGTCCTTTTGGGACGTAAAACCCCAGTTTATTGAACAATTCGCTACTAGCCAAGTCAGGAAGCGGTGGGCAGTGAGTCGGGCTACAGCAGCACGACGAATCAGCAACGCTTCGCAAGAAGAATGGAAATGATAAGTAAATAGAATAGCTAGCAGTGAATTAAGATACTGAGATGCAACTAAGCAAATGGTACACGGGAATAATGAGAAAGTATGAGCGATACATAATTCACGTCACAGTGTGCGTGAATGTTTCGCCTGGTGCATTGTTACTAAAACGTCCTCCGCACTGATCATAACTGACTGCTATCAGTTGCAGTCATACTCCCGTATTCTAGAACGACGCTTCACTCGACGCTTCACCTTCACTTGAGAAGGCCGGTAGGAGCGCCATCTCTGGTCACGACAAGTCACTGCATATCAGCGATAATCTGCTGCGATTCTTGAGTAGCGCATCGTCATTTTCAGCCGAGCGGCGGCGCAGTGTTCAACTATGTCAAGTGAAGGGTGAAGTTCGAGTGGAGGAGTATTTGTGAATACGGGGGATAATGTTATCCTTATTTTATCAGGTTTCGATGGGTGACCGAGAACGAGGGCCTCCCTTCGTACGCGTCCATTAGGACGGCGCTGCAAGTCTCGCTGGTCATTGGGTTGCAATTCAAGAGAGCGATGTGTACGCGAAAAGGCAGCCGCATAAAAACGATCAGTGAAGGGGGGGGGGGCACTCTAGCTTTGTTGCTAGGCGCTTCTAGCAGGCTTCTACAACATTCCGATCACGACAATCATCTGTAGATTTTGCTTTTGTACATTTTTCTTCGACTTCTCCCGCAATACGCCCCGTGCAGATCTCGCCGATAAGACGGCGACGAGCGATATCGTCTCGTAATGGCGCGACCAGATTTGGCTGCAACTACGCATGCGCAACATCGCCGTGCACGCGGGCGGCGGGCTTCCATTTCTCCTTTGCTGCTCGTCATGCTGTGCGTTCTGTATATGGCACTTCTTCGGCGCATGGCAAGTGCTACGATGTTCAGACGCGGGGCGCGCGTTATTGGTAGGACGTGCGATTTGATTGATTGATATGTGGGGCTTAACGTCCTTGTCCTGAAACTACCATACGATCATGAGAGTCGCCGTAGTGGAGGTCTCCGGAAATTTCGACCACCTGGGGTTCTTTAATGTGCACCCGAATCTGAGCACACGGGACTACAACATTTCCGCCTCCATCGGAAATGCAGCCACCGCAGCCGGGATTCGATCCCGCGACCTGCGGGTCAGCAGCCGAGTACCTTAGCCACTAGACCACCGCGGCGGGGGTCGAGGTAGGACGTGCGAGCCGAGTTTCATCTTTTAGGGGCGAAGCTCCTTAAAGCGGCACCCGTTCATCCCTCGTCGTAGTCGTGGTCATAATACGCAACATGTCTTAAGGCTGGTGCACACGGGCGACTAGCAGTGGTCACGCGACCATTTGCGACTGGCGACCAAAAAGCGACTGATGTTCACACCGAAAGAGGCTGCATGCGAGCGAACTGGGGTCGCAATAGCGGAGAGTCACGTCCGGATCTCGTTATCAGTGAGAGCTCTAGAGACCGGTGCCGATCAGCTGATCGCCGCCAGCTGAGTGAGCGGAGCAAACCGAGCGCGCCGCATTTCTGGTTTTTATCCACTCTCGCCAGCACAATGAAAAAAAAAACAACAACAAAAATTGAGCATCGCTGATTGGTTCCAGCAGCTTGGCGACCGCAGTCGTGCGACTGAAAAACCTGTCGGGAGGCGACTAGCAGTCGCTTTGCGACCGTTTTCGGCTGTGTCGTCGTTTTGTTCTCGCGCTATAACTATCGTCATGCCATACCAACTAGCCCAAGCTGCCACACTTCTACGTTCGCGACTATTTGCGACCAGTCGCAAATGGTCGCGCAACCGCTGCTATAGTCGCCGGTATGCACCAGCCCTTACGCTTTGACCTCCAAGGTGGTGCCGGTGGGAGATTTCTTGTGTGCGTTGTTGAACAATAAAAATTATTCGCAGCGTGCGCGTTAAGTAAAAGCCGAATACTCCTGTCTCTCATTTTCCCTTAGCAGCCATTGGAATGTACATTGAGCACTATCTGATGAGAAAGGGTTGCTACGTTATACTCGCTGGGCGTAATCTCCTTAGTTTAAGAGTGGTTTAGCGAGCGTTGGGCCGCAGTGCCATGAATACAGTGAACTAGTATATACCATGAACTCGATGTGGTTAAAGGTGGGAAGTAGACCCGAAGCGCAAGCCGTAAGAAAGAGTTCGTGTGCCACCTCTCGTTTAGTCCGCTGGATGGCGGTGCTTCTATATGCGGAATATACGATGAAAAGATGCGAGATGGTGGTGCTCGGAGTGTTGGACGAACGGACACACAGACAGATGCATGAACGAGCGCAGGGACGGACGCGCGGATGGACGTGTGGACGCACGAACAGACGCACGCACGGACGGGCGGATGAACGCATGGACGGTCACACAGACGGACGCATGGACGGACGGAAGCAAGAACGAATGGACGGACGGACGCTTCGCCCCACTCTCCATCATTCACCCCGTGGATATGCTGCCATTTTTTCACATTTTTTTTTTATTTTGAGTGGGCATGTGCATTTTACATGGACCTATGGAACGCCGTACAAGGAACCGCGTCCCCTGGCAATCATCGACGGCCACAGTGAGCTTCGTCTTTGGCATAAAAACACGTAAGTCCCCATATGACAGGCCGGCGGGGGAGGATACATACATATCTTCATAGTTGAACCAAAGTTTAAGCTAGGTCACGTGTGAATTTATCGAGCGAGTTCCTTGAGCCATGCTGCCACTTCGGGTCAATACTCCACGTGACACAGGCGCACGTATACAGCTTTCAGGCTTACCCCCGTATTTACAAACGCTCCCCGACTCGACTTTCACCCTTCACTTGACAAAGTTGAGCACTGCTCCACTGCTCGGCTGAAAATGACAATGCGATGCTCGAAAGTCGCTTCGTATAATTGTTGATATGCAGTGACTTTCCATGCCTACAGAGGGCAGTTCCATCGGCTTTCTCAAATGAAGGTGGAGCGTTGAGTGAAGGAACGTTCTAGAATGCGGGGCTAACCAGGCATCTTGCCTAGGGCTGCGTCCACGGCAAGTGTATATAGCCAACGACCCGGAATGCCTGTGGAACTTCCGCTGTCATTACGCGTACTTCGCGGAGCAGTCTTTTCCTTCGCGTAATGTGGTTCCCGCGGGCTGCTACACGCATCGTCGTCCCGGTGTTTGTCTCGCCGGCTTGTTGCCGCACTTCAAGAAACTGTCATTGCCTGTCGTACTGGACGGATTCGAAAAACTAATGTGGTGGTGAATTCGTGAAGCAGTAAGTTCTTACAGTGATTGCTTACCATGGCTACTTGGAAAAGTGTCACAGAGCCCCTTTAGGCGCGTCTGGTAGTATTGATAATGCGTTAATTTGCCTGTTTCCTTTTCTTTGTAATGAGTTTCTTAATTGCTACCTCGATGTGCACATATATGCTAACATATATGTGTCAGAATATGGGTCTGAAATGTCAATTCTTATAAATTTGTGGCTTTTTAGATAACTGTCGCTCTTAATGTAAGTTTAATTAGTCTATTCTAATTATTCTTGTGTGTATCATAAAAAAAAGGAGCCTTTAAATTTACCCTTTCGTTCATTGCAGGGGTCCCGTTCCGATAGACTGGATGCCTTATGACAGAATACGAGGTATTATTGGTCAGGTGCTAACTCGTAAAAAGATCACACGCTTCGTCATGCCAGCAAGCGGAAAAGTTTTTCGCACTTCCAGTCACGGCTGCCAACGGTGCTGACTCACACCCAAGTTTAAATACATATAGTTTTTTTTTTCAAGACATGTGTCCCATATTCTAAGAAATCACAGAAAAGAGTTATCTGCGTGCTACTTGCGGCGTTGCCTTTCCTGTGGCAGAAGGCATCTTCAGGTGCGTACAGACATGAATTATGGCAGTAATTAAAAAATTAACAAAGTTAACTTTTTAACCAGTGGTGATAGCCGGTCGAGTCAAATGGATGAATTCAAGCCCTTCCTATTCAAATAGTCCATAGCCAGTTTGGAATTTCGGGAGCGGGCGCTAGTAATTACCGCAGAGCAATGCAATGAGCCTAATTTAGTTTTAAAAAAC